AATTTTAAATTTTAAATTTTAAATTTTAAATTTTAAATTTTAAATTTTAAATTTTAAATTTTAAATTTTAAATTTTAAATTTTAAATTTTAAATTTTAAATTTTAAATTTTAAATTTTAAATTTTAAATTTTAAATTTTAAATTTTAAATTTTAAATTTTAAATTTTAAATTTTAAATTTTAAATTTTAAAGTTTACATTTTAAATTTTAAATTTTAAATTTCAGTTTTTAAATTTATTTTTTTAATTTTTAAGTATTTAAAATGTGTAATATAAAATATAAAATTTCATATTAACAGTACTTTTAAATTTTTAATTTTAACCTTTAAAAGTTTAGTTTTAAATTTAAATTTAAATTTTCATTTTAAATTTTAATATTATAAATTTGAAATTTAAAAATATAATTTTGAATATAAATTGCATATTTTAATTGAATTTTTTTATAAATTTAAACTTTAATTTTTTAATTTTGAATTTTGAATTTTACATTTAAACTTTTAAATTTTTAATTTTTAATTTTAAATTAAAAGTTCTTAAATGTAAACTTCAAATTTTTAAAATTAAATATGAAATTTTAAAATTTTATATTTATGTTTACGAATTTAAAATTTAAAATTTTAAATTTTAAATTTAAATTTTATATTTTTAACTTAAGATTTAAAATATTATATATTAAATTTTATATTTTTTTAAATTTTAAATTTTATATTTTAAATTTAGAATTTGAAATTTTATTTTTTAAATTTAAAATCTGATTTTAAATTTTAATATATTTGAATTTAAATTTTCAGTATTTAACTTTTAGTGTTGGTTTTTAACTCTTAAATTAAAATTTTTAGATTTAATAATTTCAATTTTTAATTGTAAATTTAAATTTTTTTTTACTTTTTAATTTCTAGTTTTTCTTTTTAAATATCAAATTTCGTTTTTTATTTCGATTTTTAACTTTTAAATTTTAACTTTTAAATTTTAAATTTTACATTGTTATATTTAAATTTTATTTAACTCTTTAAATTTTAAGTTTTATTTTACATTTCAAATTAAGATTTTATATTTTGAATTTTAAACTTTACATTTTAAATTGAAAATTTTAAATGCCAACTTTTTTATTTCAAATTTTATTTTTTTTAGTTTTAATATTTTAGTTTTTAAATTTTAAATTTTCATTTTAGTTTTTTATTTTAAATTTTAAAGTTTAATTTGTTAATTTATAAGACCAATTTCTTTGTTATATCTAAAAGGATTTGCGTGATTTGATTTTGACTCGCAGAATTCAAATTTAGATTTCTAATTCTTTTCCTTTGCAATGGAATGTAAAATTTTGAATTGAAAGATTTTGAATTAGAAGTCAATTCCAATTCCACATATTTATGTACTACCAAATAGCAACATTGAAGTCTTCAATTCTAATTAAATGGCCTAAATTCTGTGTACTAAACAGAGCTTTTGAGATTAAAGTGGTTTTTAAATAATTACTCTTGGAATGAAAAAAAAAAGGATTTTTCACATATAATATGGTCATATCATCTTTTATCTTGTAGAATTAAAAATCATAACTTTTAATATGTTAGTTTTATTTTTTATTTGTTATCAATTTTCCAATAATATGAATTGAAAAAAAACAATGGGGTATTTTTTGTGTCGTATGTACTTAGAATATTTTACTTTCTCCTAGAATATTTGTCAAGTTTTAATTTTTTTTAGTCAATTAAGATTGATCTTTGACCTATCCAATATTTTAAAAGTAGTGTGCAAGTTAAATATAATAAAATTATTCTTGTATCAACATCTAATATAAACTTTACTTAACTTAGGGTTAAATTTGATCAATTTTGAATTGCGCAATTGACAAAGCAAAGAGTACAGTGCTAAAGGGGTAAAACTCGAGTTTGAACTCTGACAACTCTGTTGGAAGGCAACTATGCTAAGCATAGGGCCTCTGTAAGTACTATGTGCAGACTTCACTCTTTGCCAATTACCTACAATCAAAGTGCAATTTACATACTCGCAATGACTGTCCAGCCGAATCTGAAGGCCTTCTGTAATGCGGGTCGACGTCATCTTTTTTTTAAGGAGCGAAGGAGTATTTTTTTATTAGTTGAACACTTCAACCTGGTTGTGGGGCCATCACCCTTCAAAAGTCGTATATATATAAACCGTCTTAGAGGCCGGTGAGTGACGGAGAAAACCTTGAGAGGGAAGTATAGCCTATACTCCTATAGGTACCTCATAACAAAGAAATCGAAATTAGATTAAAATAAAAAAAGTGTTTATGTAGCGTCTAAGGAAAGAATCCATTATATTTCTCTATATTATAACTGGCCTTAGCTATTTTTTTCCATCTTTAATTTTTTGTTGATTGTTTTTTTAAAGGGCATAAAAATAAAACCAGAAGCGCAGTACGTACGAAGAAGGATGGGTAAATCGGAGGAGAAGAAAGAGGTTGATTCATTGGAGATCAAAGTGTCACTGTCTTGCCAGAAGTGTGCCAAGGATGTTAAGAAAGCTTTGTTGAAGGTCAAGGGTAATTTTATTACAATTTCTTTTTCTTATTAGATAGTGCAACTCTAACTCCAAGAATTAGAGCATCTTATTAAAGCAAAGGGTGCTTCCATGAAGTCATGAACCTAAGGGTTTATTTGGTTGGAAGAGAGGAGAGCGGAAGGAATGGATGAGAGGGAATGAGAAGGGATAAGAATTCTCCTCGCCTGTTTTAATTTGGTTGAGGAGTACGATGTTTTCATGGTATCAAGTTCGACATTTAAAACGTGAACCTTCTCACATTTTACATATCTTTCATGTGGATACTTTCTATTTTGCAAAAAGTCCAATTCTTTTATGCTATGAATACACTAAGTTCCATAAAATAAGCATGAATCTTAGATCCACGGAAGAATTTGCCTTGGTTGAGATGTGAGGGAAAGGTTTTATTTTCAATTTTTTTATATTTTATATTTTTCATTTTTAAATTAATTTTGTTTCCTATTTTTTAAAATTATTACCAGTATTTTTTAAATTAATTTTTCATTTTATTTTTTATAATTTTAATTTATATTATATTTTCTAATTTTATTGATCTATTTTTTTTATTGAATTTTTAAATTTATTATAAATTTACTTTCTTAGATACTATTATAATTATTTATTTATCTATTTATTTATTTATTTTATTAATATAATTATTTATTATTATTTACTCTTAATATTTTATAATGATTTTTATTTATTTTTTTGTTTTATTAGTTTTTATTTTTATTATTTTATTATTATACTTTTTTTATTATTAATTTTTATTTTTATTTTATAATTATTATTTTTTCCTTAATTATTGGTTTTTATTTTTAATTTATTAATTATTATTTATTCATTTATTTAAATTTTATTAATTTATACATACACACACAGCTTCAAACTTTTCATAAACTGCATGTTTTTCTCTCGAAATTATAAAATTGCATCATTAATCCATATACTTTTCATAAATTAAAATGCATGTTTTACTCTTGAGCTCTTTATAAAGTGCATCCTATGTTTTTCTCTAAACTTTCTAAAATGCATCATTAGACCTTATATTTTTCATTAAATGCATGATTTCTCTTAAACTTTTAAAAGTACACCATTAGTTCTATTCTTTAAATAGTATAGTTGAAATCCGATATAAAAATTTCTCTTAATTAAACTGTGACTAGTTTTTTACTATTTCGATAAAAAAGAAAAATAACTTTGTGAGCATAGATAGTCCCTACGTGTCAAAATCTTCTTCTCATGGTTAAGTTAAGATGATTGCTAGAGTTTGATGAAAATGTTATTGATAAATGTTTTCTTAACGAAACTTACACATTAGGGGATTTCAAAAAGTTGTACACAATAGAAGTGTCAATAATTTATCTTTGTGTGTGTGGCATGTTTAACCAAATTAAAAAAAACAAACTCCTCAATTACGTCTTCATCAAACTCTAAAAGACTAAAATATCGTCGTCTTTACTGAGGGTCTGAAGTGTGAGAAAAATTTGAGGAGCAGTTAGCAACTATGTCCTCTAAGTTATTTTTTATTTTTCTTTAAGTTTGTTTAAAGATGATGTTCAACTAAGAGATATTATTGGAATTTCAACAAAGCATCATATCAATTTTTTAAATATCGCTTTTGAGAGTTTGGGGAAAACATACACTTTATGAAAATATAGAATATGTCACGGAGTATAAAAATAAATTGAATACAATTATTATTGTATTAATCTAGTTTTCATTTTATTGATCTCAAGGTGCGTTCAATTTATCTATTGTAAACTTATCATTTGGCTAATTTAAAAAAGAGTGAACTTTTGAAATTGTACTCAATAATCAATATTCATGTAATTTCCCTAGTTAGTCTCAAAGATAAACTAATTACCAAGATAATACTAGTTAATTGAGAATAATGGTTAGTTTAGACTCCCCCGACTAACGACTGTTAAAATGATGTCAAAATTGTGTTAAAACTTATTCTAATTATTTAAATTGGACCTTTCAATTTAGATGTTTTTCTGAATAAGTCTATTTTCAAAATAAAAACTTATTAAAGATGGAAAAATATTTAATACTCCTTTCTTTCCAATATATGACTCATTAAATATGTTGGCAATAAATTTTGGACCAATTTTTAGTTATATTTATTTGAATATAAATTTGGACAAACATCATAAACTGAATAGCAAACCTAATTTAGAGACAGATAGAAATGTTTATTAAATATTTTATTTACATGATATTCTTCTAAATCTTTTTAAACAATTTGAGGCATTTACTTTCAAATGCATTACATTATATTTATAGTGTTATTTGTTATATTCTCATATTATAAAATTTACATTAATTTTCAATAGTTAATAAATTTTCATTTAGAAAATACTAATTTCAAAAAACAACCAATTTGAAAGGATCATTTTGAAAAATTTCTATATGTTTTAACATCTGACGGTTGTTAATTGTGATACTAATTTAACTAGTATCATCTCATTAATTGATTTATCTTGGAATTTTTTGAAAAAACACAATTTTTGAGTAACATTTTGAGAACTTACTCTTAACAAATATTTTATTGGCTATAGTAAGAGCGGTAATGGCGCGGTGAGAGTGTGCCATGCCACGCCACCTCAGCACAAACCATTCCAATTTGGATAAAGCTATTTGTACCCCAAGGGTTTGTACACCGCAAGTATGCACCAACATTCTGTGTTGGTGTAATGCTAAGTTTTATTAACACATCAACACTTGTGTTAGTGTAAATTTTTGTTAATGTTCCAACACTTTGTATTAGTGTGAACCATCAAAATGTTGATGTATACGTTTGGTGTAAGTTTAGGGTACAAATTTCGGTGCAAGTGTAGCATGGTCCTTCCAATTTTTTTTGTCTCGTGTAGAATCTCTACATCAACACTCATGGAGTCATGGAGCGTTTGAGTGTGGCACTCCAAGCCTCTTTTCCTTTTTTCTAAGAGAGAATTTTTTGATTAAAAAAACTTTTTTTATAAAAAAGTAGACATATTTTTTTAATAAAATAAATAATAAAAATAATTTTATTAATTAAACACATAAAAATTAATGTAAAAAGTGACAAAAACAATGACTTGACACTGCAGAGTTTGACACTGCAGGGTAGAGTTTGCCACTCCGCTCATGTATTCCGTTTGCTGAGTGGGCTATTTTTTATTGATTAAAAAGTGTCACGTCAGCGTGTAGTCAGTGAGTAACATTTTATTTTTCCCCCATGATTGCCTATGCTCTAAGGATTTGTTTCTATGGCCACTATGTTTGAGTGGCCAGAGAAGATAGAGGGCACCTACGATTCTCTGTTTAAAAAATTGATAGTTCCTAACCCCATAAGTCCCCCGATAAATCTTCTCACCTAGTCCCGACCCCATCACACCCCTATCCACATAAACTAAAGTCAACCAAACTATCAATTTTATGAACAGAGCATCATACGTGTCCCAATCGAGACGGTATCCTTTGTTGGTCACTCAAAGAGAGTGACTATGGAACAAGAGTAATATATGCTTGAGTCTAGTTTCATAACCACCCTGTTTGAGTGACCACGGAAGACATTGGGCACCTTTGATGCTCCATTCGCAAAATTAATAGTTCTTGCACCCCGCCAATGATGTAAATATGGGGATGAGTTGGTGTCCGGATTGGATAAGAGTTTACCGGAGGCTTGAGAATATAAACTACTCCTTCCGTTCCACAAAACCCTTCCGGTTTTGACTTTGGGAAAAAAATAAGGAAAGTGTAATTTTGGTTGACTTTCCAATTTTGCCCCTGATCGATGTGATGGAAAAAAGTAAAATGTGATAGTTTGGTTATTAGTGAAAAAGAATGATGTAATAGGTAGGGTATGAAAAAGTAGGGATAAAAGTGATTTTTTAATAGAAAGTGGAAGTGTTTTGTGGAAAGCAAAAAAAATCGAAAGAAGAAGGGTTTTGTGGAAGGAGTATAAATTTTGTGAACGGAACTCTTTAATTAGGTGTCCCAATGGAGAGAGTATGTTTTTTTTTCCGAATGTGGTGGCCTCGCCGGAATAGGGAGTGTAATTTTTATATATGTTTTCCGGTTCATGCATGCAGGAGTTAAAAATGTAATTGTAGATTTGGAGAAAGGGAGGGCGAATATAAAAGGATCAAAAATACATCCAGATGCGGTGTTGCAGAAACTGAAGAAGAAACTGAAGAAGGACGCTACAATAATACCGCCGCCGCAGGAAAAGGTGGTGGCTCCGCCGTCGAATAATAACGTCGCAGCCCACGTGCCGGGGGTTTGCGTCATCAATGGCCAGTACTATTACACCCAGTTTCCTCACTACCCAGTAGTAGCCTATGGGCCGCCGGTTTCGGCTCACCATTATCCATATAACTACGAGAATAATAACCCTGATTTGTGCTCAATCCTCTAGACTTCATGATTCAAATTAAATTACCTTATACGGAGTAATTAATTTTCAATCCCCTTTTGAACTTATTAGTGTGTAAAGTGTAAACAATTACGTGTAAAACATTTGATGTCGTGTGATGGTGTAAAATTTTAAAATTGAATGCTTGGGTTTCTTTGATGAAATATTTGCACTAAATAGCACTAAAATTTAAGTCATTTCCCTAAATAGCACTTAAACTGTTTTATTCTCTAAATAGCACTTAATAATGTCTATAATGTTCAGTGATGACGAATATTTACTTGAATAATGACTAATGCATGACTAAAAATGCTACATTGAGAAAAAAACACATGTGGTGCTATTTAGGGAAAGTCATTATGTTTTAGTGTTATTTAAGTAAATTCCTCTGATAATAATAATAATAATAATAATAATAATAATAATAATGAGAAATATAGTCTTGTGATACTTAGCTTTCTCCTCCATGAAATTCAACTTTTCCTCAAGTTGGAGATCCAACAAAAAACGGGGAAAAGGAGGACATAATGTTCATCCTCCGGGGTCAAGCACCTTGATTCTTAGAGCATCAAAAGAACGTATTGGGCCTAAAGCACCGCTAATATTGATGAAACTGCTCTATGCAACCAATGGCAAGAAAACGATGTCATCCCGGACAGAACATTCAAATTTATAAAGGACAACAACGAACTTCAATATTGGGCGTCCCGGATTATTTTGTGCATCTATAAAAAATCACATCGTCAAGGGAAACTTTCTTCAAGATTGAGAGGCTTTGGCAATGGTTTTCCTAATAAACATCGATTGCGACAAATCAATTACTCCAATTGGTTCTTGCACGTGTTAGTTCCTTTGGGTTGTCATGTTTAAAATATTGTATAACTCCTGTTGGGGGATGGCATAATTTTTTGACAATCTAGTATAGACATGTTGTGTTAGTAGCTAGCCGTTTTGGTTGCTTTACAAACCGAAAAAACCAAAATAAAAACCGTATAAAATCGAATCGAATAACCAATGGTTTACATATTTTTTTATGCAAAACCGAACCGAACCACCAATTTACCTTCCGTTTTGTCTTTGATTTTAGATGAAAACCGAACCGCCAAAACCGAACTCACACCTACTTATAGTCTCGTAATTGTTATATATTCCAATTACTATAGTGGGTCAATTAACCTAATATATCCAACACAAGCCAGATTTGTTCAAACATTGCTAGCTTTGTTCCACGATTCAACCATTCCCAAGGTTCCTTAAAAAAATCATGCAATTGTGTTTCTAAATAAATCATTAATACCGGTACTTCATTTAATTATTTGTCCTAAAAAAGTCTCCTGGTTAATATTACAGATCAAAATATTTCTACATTTTATATACGCTTTCATTGATCATTTGATAAAATAAAATAACATTATCATCACTTTGCAAACCGTTGACACGGAGTATAATTTTGTAATATACTCCCTCTCTCCCTAAATTATTTACTTTTTATGCAAAACGAAGTAAAATTCTATGTTTTTCAATTCATTTAATTATTTTAAGATTGATATATAAATAAAAAATAAAACTTATGGAGTACATGTTTAAAAAGTATATCAAACTTCTACAAAACAAGAGGTGACAAAAATATTTTATTTCATCAAATTGTTAATGAAAAGACACAAATAAACAAAAGTTTTCGTGATTTTTTAATAGTAAAATGTATAAATCATTTAGGGACGGGGGAATATTCTTAAATTCTACATCAATTTTTATTTTTATTGATTAAGATATAATTTCAAACATATATCGTAAACCAAGAGTTTTATTTTGGGATGGAGAATACTATTTTTCATTTTCTAACCATAGAATCTTCAATAACGGACTTTATATTTTTTCCATTCCATAGCACCTGAAAAAATACTCCGCACTTTAGGGTGGAATTTGATCTCTTTTTTAAAAATAAAGGTAACACGGTTTGACATTAATAACTAATCATGTTTTTAATTACGTGTAATTTATTACGGAGCATTACAAGTGGGAAAAAGTTAAAAAAGAAAAATGCATTTTTTTTCTTACTATAAAGTCCACTGTTCTCATGGCCGGGAATGACCCTTCATTTTTAATTCCACCACTTTATTTCATGCTATCATAAACAACAAAAAAAATAAAATTGGTTTTCTTTTTTGAAAAAAGAGAGAGTAATTAAAGTGGTAATTTAATTAATGGGGATTAAAGGAAAGATAGATTGTATTTCAGATGTTATGGTGGGCAGCAGTGAGAAGAAGAAGATGAAGAAGAAGAGGAAACAAATGCAGACTGTGGAGCTGAAAATAAGAATGGATTGTACCGGTTGTGAGCGTAAAGTCAAGAATGCCCTGTCTTCTATTTCCGGTAATTATATTATTATTATTATTATTATTATTATTATTATTATTATTATTATTATTATTATTATTATTATTATTATTATTATTATTATTATTATTATTATTATTATTATTATTATTATTATTATTATTATTATTATTATTATATAACTCCGTATTGTTATTCAGTTTATTTTATCACACCAAGTATAAACATGAAAATTCTTTACATTGTTATACTCCCTCCGTCCATAAATAATGTTCAGAGTTTGACTTGGCACGGAATTTAAGAAAATGTAAAAAAAGCCTTTACTTTCCAGCTTTGCCCTTTGATTAATAAAAATAAATAAATTAAAGGTAAAGGTGAATAAAGTTAAATAGTAGTGATTGGATAGATAAAGTAATGAAAATGATTAAAATATTGTTAAAGTACAAGTGCAAGTACAAAAGTGGGGTGGTTGGAGTAAATTAAAGTGGGTGGTGGGTAAGGGGTATTCAAGGCATTCCACTTATAATTCTTTGCCTAATTTAGAAAGATGAACTTTATTTGTGGACGGATGAAAAAGAAAAGTACGAACATTAAAAATGGACGGAGGGAGTAACATTTTTTTAAATTTTTGTGTCAAGTTAAAAGGAGAAAAAAGTTGTGTGTTTCATTAAAGTTGGGTGGGTGCATGCAGGGGTAGTATCGGTGGAAATAAACAGGAAGGAGAATAAGGCGACGGTGAGAGGATATGTGGAGCCAAACAAGGTGTTAAAGAAGGCAAAGTCAACGGGGAAGAAGGCTGAGATATGGCCGTATGTGCCCTACCAGTTGGTGGATCGGCCCTACGCCGCCGGGGCATACGACCGGAAAGCGCCGCCGGGATACGTCCGTTCACTCGATCCCTACAACACTCATAATAATGACTCCTTTGACTCGTACACATACATGTTCAGCGACGAAAATCCCAATGCATGCTCCATTATGTAGTACTCTATTATCCTTATTACTTCATCATATATTTTAATTTAATTATTTATAACCGATAATTTTATATTTATACACACACACACACACCTCATGTTGTCTTTCTAAAAAGTATACTTAATGTTGAATATATAGTAAGAATTTTATGATTTTTCTGTGGGTTTTCAATTTTTTATTTATTTATGCTCTTCTCTTGTGCTATTTCCGTTTTAAAAGTGGTTTTAAATTTTGATTGGGTTTCAAAAAAATAAGTGCAAAAATTATTTGTACCCCAAAGATTTGTACCTCATTTTGTACTTTGCAGGGATGCACCAATATTTTGTGTTGGTGTAATGCACCGACATTTTGTGTCAGCGTAAATTTTTGTTAACGCACCAACACTTTATGTCAGTGTGAACCATCAAAATGTTGGTGCATACCTTTGGTGTACAAATAGGGTACAAATTTTGGTATACATGTAGCATGCTCCACAAAATAATTGGCATCATTATTGACTCAACTTGTAGGATTCATCCCTGATTATTAGTCTATTTTTTTTTTACAATTTCCTATTAAAATTGATAAATTTTGATCTCAAATTAAATAAAAATGATATTAGACATTGATACAAAAATACTTTTATTACATTTAGTTATATGAAATATTTTCAAAATATTATTTTATATAATTTATTTACAATATATATTTTATTTAATTATGGTCAAAGATTGAAAACAGTTGACTAAAAAAAGTCAAAACTGGACAAATTTTACGTATATGATATGTAAATGGAGTAGATATGTCACTAGACGGAAACAATATAATGTATCTAATGACATGTGACAACAATCCTCAAGAATCATTCTGACCTCATTTGTAGATATATACTCACAAGGACTCTCTCACATTCCTGGAACAGGCAGTCTCTTGTTCTTAAAATATAATGGAGGAACTAGAACTTCTTGTATCAGTGTGATATTGGTCGGATTTGAAAATATGCTTAAACAAAAAAAATATAATTAGATATTAAATTATACCCCCTCCGTCACACAACCATTCTTCTTTCTTTTTCATCCGTCCAAAAAAAACTTTTTTCATTTTTACTAAAAAGGTCACTTTAACCTCTACTAATTCTTAACCTACCTAATACAGCACACTTTTTCATTTCTAATCTACGCATCACAACTACTTTTACCTATCACATCCAAGGACATTTTTGGAAATTAGAGTCAATACCAATATATACTCATCTTAAATCCCTTAAATTCAAAATAAGAAATGTTTTGTGAGTCAAAAGTTAGGCGTGAATTACGGGTAGTAATGTGACCTTTGTGTTTTTACCCTCGGTAACTTTGAATTAATTGCTCCAATTAATTCATTGACAATGATTATTTCGTGCAAAAGTAGGCTCTTTATATATCATAGAGAGTCTCGGAGTCCCGCGTCATCCCATGACTTGTGTCCCACGGCGCCTCTGCTTTGACTTTGCTTTGGAAGAAACTAAGAAACATACTAAATTGAGCCCTTCTCCATTACAAGTACATACCAGCTCATCATATTATATACTCCGTATATTGTTTCAAAATTTTACTATCATTGTTCTTTGCTGTGAAACTTTTAGATCCTAACATGAACCAAACATAGCCTTAAAGTATAAGGACTTTCTAACCATGAACTTAAATAAGACTTAAACCTAATTTACTTAATTAGTTCAATACTCCGTTACTTATCTATGTAACTAATTTACTACGCCATGTTTTCGAGGGTGTTGGAGATTGCATCTAAAAACTGCTTTTGATTTCTGCTTCTTTAAAATGGAATTTTTTAATTTGCTTCTGCTTATATATATTATGGCTTTTGAAGTCTAAAGTATGCTCCTGTGAGAAGTGCTTTTAAGCAAATATAAAACTATTTGATTTCCAGTTATACTCAAAACTTCTGTTTCTTCACCATTATACCACTCTCAAACACCATCCTAATGTTGCTTTAATTCCTATGTTGGTTTTCTATCCACTTAATTATGAGGTTCCATATTATGGAGTACAGAGTACTCTATAACAATTAGATACTTCTTTTGTGATTGATTAACTTTATTTTAAATTCAATATACCAAAGTATTTAAATAGTTATATAAATTTCAATTTAAAAGTTATATAAGTAAATATTACATAAAATAATCTTTAAAATAAGACGCGATAAGACTGCTACTTTAAAAATGATTAACGAAATTAAGTGATGAAAAAAATTATTTGACCTCTAAAAGTAAAGAGGCCATTATATCATTATTACAGAGTATAATATGGTAATGAAAAGGTTATAATAAGACTCGTTTCGAGTGTCATATTATGAAACTGGTAAAATCACGACAACAAGAGCTCAACAAAACCAAAAAATAAAAGTTTCTCCGTGTAGCAGTACTGCCAGTGTTTTTCGGAATTTCAGACTAGTTATTAGGGCATGTTTAGTGAGTTTTGAAGATATAATAAAGAATAAATTCTATAATTGCTCCTCTATAAGATATGGTTTTTCAAATTTAGTCATTTATTATCAAATATTACGCCTATGGTCTTTCTTATATGGGTACCTTTCCACGAATAGTCCATTTTTTTGAACTACTATCATGTTGGTGTTAATTTGAAGGCTAAAAGTGTAATTTTATATCAATCTTATGTCCAGTGACGTGTTCTAATGTCGATTAGACCGATAAAACAATAACAATGACTATGGTTGTGGACTAGCATTTTGACAAAAAATCATATTTGTAAACTCTGGTTGTAGTATAAAGTGACTATGATTTACAAACGACACATCAGGAGCGACATTGTGTATGACAAGAAAGATATATAATTATTGTGAAATTACATTTTTAACCTTCAAATTAATACCAATATCACAGAAGATCAAAAAGACTATTTGTAAAAAATACCTATAAACGGACCATTGCATATTATTTAATAGTAGATGATTAAATATGGAAAATCCACTGTTATAAAGGACCAATTCTGAAATTTATTCTATAATAAATACAGATTTTGAAGTCAAAAAGAAATGAAATGAGTTTTAAAATCTAAATAAAAAGTGGTTGGAGAAGAATTGAAATGAAGTCAAATCTTTTCCTAAGCTGGATGGGGAGTTTTGCTGAAGTTGGAAAATTTGTTAGTCTTGTGTTAGTAATTTTCCAAATAAAACCTCANTTAGAAGAGAGGGATTCTTTAAAGTTTTTATTTGATATTTTACAGTCTAAAATGCAACACTTTGACCATCAAAATCTTTATATATATAGATATATATTATAAAAGTATAGTATTTCAAAATTATGTTTTTAAAAAGAACTTATTGATAAATTTTTTATATCACAATTCAGCGCACATTTTCGGTAATTTGTAATCAAAATTTTGAAAAATGGACCATGAAAGCCAAACTCGGAATATCTAAAAGGGACTTAAAAAATAGTATACAAGTTCTTCCATCACTCCCATATGGATACCATACATCTCAGTGATTGTTGGAAGGATACAAATTAAGGTGTTCAAATTTAATTTAGATCTATTTTTTGTGCCTTTTAAATACAAAAAATAAGGGAATTGTGTGTGTATTTATAGAAATCACCCTAAATAGGACTTTCATGTTTTTTTCCCCGAAATAGGACTTTGCACTGTGCTAATGTGACTTTGCATTGTGGTAATGTGACAGCGTACATGTGCACATTACTATACGTTTTTGGTCATGTATATGACCATGTTTGGTAATGTAAGTCCTATTTCAGGAAAAAAAACATGGAAGTCCTATTTTGGTATATCTTCAATGTTTTAGTCCTACTTTAGTTTTTGTCCCGTGTATTTATCATCTCTTAATGATTTCAACTTTAAAGGATGCAACAGAGGCCTAATTCGTTGATCATATGTGTTAATTTTGTTGAACTTAATTCGTTGATTATATGCAACTGAGTTTAGCACTTCTCCTCATTTGCTATCTCAATTCTAACACCAACATAATTGAGTATCTTATCATTTGCACCCCATTGCTTCATATCCAACAATTTATAAAGCACATTTGATAACTAAATTGGTATATTTTTGTATTTTTCTTTCAGTCATTGTATGTATGGAGTATGTCTTTTTTTTAATTTCTGCCAGCTTGGATTTGAGGCTCAAGGTCTAAGAAATAAAATATGATCTATTGGTGTGGATCTCAAGGCTCGCCCTCTACTTGTAACTCAATATGAAGATCCACAATAATACGTGTTAGATAAAGATCTAGAGATTATTAAAAAACTTAATAGCATTCCAAGAGTTATGCCCTTTTTGGAACCAAGGTGAAAGATATGGTTCATAGATGCAACAATTTGCATTTTAGCTCTGACATTGTCGACAACTTGTTTATTGTCGGGTGTGTTTCATTGTGGATTTTGAGGTTGATGTAGTGCTCATGTACAAGTCCAAGGTACAAGGGAAATTTAGACATTCAGAATTGTGAAGATGCTATTTGACCAATATTTTATTCACCACCCGATCAAGTGAAGTATGTGAAAATTAAATTTACCTTTCTAGCGAATATTTATTCTAATTCTATTGATGTCTTGAATAGTTATGAACATTCTAAATTTCTTCATGTCATTACGATTCCCGAACTCTTTACAGAGGGCAACTCTGGAGGATTATAACGAATCCTCCTGAAGTAGTGATGGGCAGGTTTTTCAATAGTAATGAAACATCGAGACCTATTTGTAAATATCCACTTTAGATTAGTGCATGAAAATCTTGAAAGAATTGAGTACATTGGTTTAAAATCTTTAACCCAAATTGCAAAATGTTTATCGAATGCATCCATTGCCGCTAAGTAGCCTATAATGAGCATCGAGTCCTCTATATGCGATATAGTTGGGCAAGTTGTAGTGATGTTAAGAGAGCGCTTGAAGGTCATCCAAGAATGACTAAACCTTTTATCCACAATACGAGAACAGGTTATGGAGGATTGGGCCTAACCAAAGACGTAACTTATTTTGCGGATTTATCCAATTGCCTTGGTTTGGTCGACGAAATAAGTTCTACATTCTAATAAATGAAACGAGACTAGCAAATATTGACAAATTAGTACGAAATATTATACATTGTGTGGGGTCGGGAAAGACTATCGCCATAGTTGGGTTTAAAAAATGGTCGATACC